GTTGATATTAAGATAAATATATAACAAGAAATTCGTTACAATATATATATATATATATATATATATATATACTGTCATTAAGTGCAAATTATAAATTTGTTACGATTGGATTTCAATATTTGTGACGTTTAGTAGCTAAAATGATCGCTTAAGTTTCGACACATCTAGAGACTACTAAATACTCGTGTAGGTGTGAGCCCATGGCTTTGCGTTTTTATTGTTGGTGGTAGTATTTTTCTTGATTTTGGACATATTCTTAAGACATACATAGTTGTGAGTTCTGTTATTAAAGAAATAGTCAGTTAAATGTGTTTTATCATTTGTAAACTGTTAGCGAAGTATATGCAATGTTTCAAGGGTTTATAGGTTACTGAATGGACTGGATACATGGAAACTGGTCATTATATCCTTTGAGGTAATCATATGTGAGATTTGTTTGTTTGTTTTTAGAGTAAACCCACATTGGACTATTTGCTGTGTCCACTGCATGGATTCGAATCTGGATTTTAGCATTCTAAGTCCGCATACTTATCGTTGTGCTACTGAGACACAACATGTGAGGATGTTTCCCAGTTAATATTGACCTTATATGATTAAGATATCTAGTTAAAAAGTGGTGTGATGAATTTCTGCAGTTAACTATTGGACGGAGAAAATGACTTGTTGGTGACCCATTAGATAGACCATGGATATACTGTGACATACATTTGGCAGTTTGACTGTCTCAGTTCGAATTTCATTTTGATGTTTCGTGAACTAGTCTCTTTGAAAATATTTGAGGGATATCCAAACAAAGTAAAGTCTAAGCAGTCTTTAGAAAGCGCAAGATCACATTGTTACAGTTAGTGTTAACCAAACAGCCTAATGGAGAATAAGAATACTACTTACAACACCTTTTGTTAATGCAGGCTCTAATACATTGGAGAAAGAAAAAGATCAACAAAAGTCGGAATTCAGGAACATGATAGACGTAAACTACTACTAGAGAAGAAGTCCATACAGTATACTGGAATAACGCTACAGTAATAGGATATGAACCACACATGAGAAACAGAGAGACAAAAGAACCCTTCTAGATTAAAATATCAGACATATTAACACGGAAGTTAGCAAAGTCTGAATATCCTTCTTGAAGCCATTCATATAACCAGTTTTTCAAACAAGCATTTACTGTGACAAATTTCAGTGCAACCAACTATAACTTTAACCACTTTAGTATGAAGACCAAATCTTATTTTGGTCTATTTTAATGTTACAACTTATTTATACAGTTATGGTGTTTCAGTGTAAGAATTACGGATATACAGTAAATAGAAATCGCAGGACAACAGGATATTCAGGGACAGAATATACCATATTAAATGGGTTTGTGTAGCAAGAAAAAAAAGAAGACAAATAAAATAATAAAGTCTATTTCATACAACTTACTAAACTTGAACATCGAAATGTAGATGGATGGTAGAACAAAAGAAAAGCTTTATTAAACTGAAAATACTGTGTGAGGCTGAACGAAATATAGTGAAATAAATCTCATTAAACTAACTGAAGATCAAATGTAAAGAAAGACAAGACTTGGAACAGAAAGAGTTCGAAGTCCTAAAAACAACAACAACTATAAAGCTCAACCAAACACTAACAGGAAACCTGAGGTAGACTTTCTCTCCACCGACAGGCGACAGGTGCACGGACACTCTCAAATTCAGATTGTTAACCAACATAAAAGAGTTATCACACAGGTTCACATACAAAATGTGCAATTAAGTAAAAAAAAACGATCCAAAACTCTAGCGCTTTCAAATAATTTGCTATTTTTCTTCAGGAGAAGAGTAGTCAAGAATAGTCAACTATTTTAATTTCACATTCGTTGTTGACCAACAACCTGCCCAAGCAGTTGTAAAGCCTTGATATTCCTGACTGGCATATCTTTAGAGACTCGTTCTCCTATAATGCTAGATTTTTACAAGTCAACCATGAAATCTTGTTTTCTCTCCAAAATCAGGAACCGAATATTTAAAACGTTTCTTTACTACTAAATCTACTAGTTATAAGATGATATAACAATGGCAGAAATTTACAGTACTGTGACTGCTTTAATATTGAAACGAATATCCATTATGACTACTATTTATATAGTGTGACTGGATTAGTGTTTAAAACGAACTTAGTCGTGGCTAGATTAATAAACACTGAAACGTGACATATATAAACATAAACTATAAATACGACTTTTCTCACACCAAACTATTCATGAACTATTACCGCATGGAAGACGTTAAACAAAAACATTATTGACATAAGACTGTTTGATATAGAAAGCTGAACGAAAAAACTGAACCACGAGCTTTAAAACTGGCTCACCAGAACGTACAGTGATACATTTTACTGTAGTTTTTATTCAGTACATTAAAGTGGGAAATTTGATACAAATGTATAGGTTGTGTTGGTTTATACCTGTTCAATAGGGAGTTACAGTGGGATCATAGTGGAGGAAATGATTAATGAATCAATCTATAACCTAACGTGTTGAACCCTGTTTTCGTCTTGTATCAACGTACTCATCTACAAGACGAAAGATGTTTAAACATTCTAAGCTTTGAAAATTCAGAGATAAAACTTCTCTTAAGTATGCGTGATATATAATTAAACTAAATATTGACATTCGCTCTGATTTTGTTATCCACACTTTGAAAGCATTCTTACGTTTTTAAATAGCTTAAAACAAAGTGAACCCAAGTCAGAAACGCCCTTCTTCCAAAAATATATGATTAGTATAATACTGTGACATAAAGTTATGTCATGTTTACAAGGAAACCAAATAAAAGTTAAAAACTGACAACAAAAAAGTACATTAATCTCAAAAACATTTCATTGGTACCTTAGATATGAAACTCGTGATTCAACTTAAGCATTTAGAATCTAAATAAATTTATCTTGTCTCATCAGTCACCAAAAAACAGGTTTCTGTGACTAGATACTAAGAGATGCATCATAGCTTCTAATATATTAATATTTGAATTTGAAACACGGTTATTCAGTTAAGGTATATCTAATTTTGAACTACGAACCAAAAGGAAGGCAAGCTGCCTTCTATTCTTAATCGAATAGCGAGGTTGACTGTCATTCTTACAACGCACCCACAACTGAAAGTGCAAAGAGTGTTTTGCAACGCCACATTTCGAACACTAGACCCTGAGATTTCCAATCTGATACGTGCGCTAGCCACTACGCTACTCTTCCAGGCTCAGAGCAACCTGATGTAAATCTTAAAGCAACTGTAGATTTCTAAAGTCGTTAGATACATATAAAAAAAAATATTGTTGTAATTACACCGTTTATATAAATGTAATCAACATAAATATTTTGAATTTAAATCTTTCACCCAAAAAATATCAATGTATTTACTTTTCTTTCATTTATTTCTGAGAAATTAAGTAATTATATATTTTTGTGGAAATAATAAAGTCGTTATATAAGTAGACCATAATTTCCTGAATTTTGGAATTTTCCAATTGAACTTCTGTCTTATCACGATTTTCTTGCGATATAAAATATCCATGTTGATTTCTGTGGTAATCTCTCCCCATTATCCACCTCTCTTCTTCCTTTACACCGCTTGTACCATGGATTATTGACATAGGTGTAGTTACGCACAGAAGGCACACCGATCAATATGGCCATTACAGCTCGTGCAGCCTGTGTGCCGTCTGCATCAGCTGGCAGTCTGCCCTTAACACAAGACTTGCACACACAAAGTTCGATGTGATACGTAGCAGACAAAGTGGCTTAAACCCGCGTGTTTTGTGTGTGGTACCAGCACGTGTTCTGGTTCTTGCAAAAACGATTTGAAATCATAACTTATCAAGTAAGTTAGTTTTGTTCTCTATATCACAAATGGTGTTAACACTTTTGCTTTAACTGTTGATATAAAACTTCATCCTTTTGATCAGAATGTTAAATAATATTTCCGTTCAATTCTCATGGGATGAAAAACAGTGTCTTAACTCATACTGTTTCTATATACAGTAGATGATTGCTTGTAACTTAAATATAACAAAGTCTTCATTTCCTTAGTCGACAGTATACTTAGTTTGTCATAGCGATCGACAAAAAATATTATTCTCAGACAAACGCTACTTAAACAAATGGATACATATTCAAATAATAATAATAATGAGAATTTAAGAATGGTATATCGTTTCGGAAGCTCCATACAAATAATTTGTACATGGAAAGCTGTATATTCAACTTCACGTGCAATCAATGTTTTTATTAACAAACATTATAAAGATTGTAATATAGGTTTCTGACTTGAAACATAATTACCAACTTGTATTATTTATATTAGTCAATAGATGATGCAGGTTGTCGATTTGAAATTTTGTTGTTGTTTTTTTAATTTCTTGCACCAAACGTAACTGTAATGATAAAATTAAGTTCCAGAAACTGAATTGATATTTTGTTACTAACGTGCATTATTACCATAACAGAAAACTGCAGGTTGCTGACTTAATATGCATATTTTGTTAATAATTTGTATTGTTAGCGTCAATCAACATTATATGTCCCAGAGTTAACACTTTGTTTTTAACTTGTATTGTTTGATTCACTAAACGTTCAGGATTATTAACATCAATCAACATTATTGTTTCCCGAGTTAATATGTATATATTTATTTAAATTTATATGAGTTACTTCAACAAACATTCTGAATAGTCTAACAAACTTCGATGACTTGAAAATGTATTTGACTAACTTGTATTTCTTGCCAACCAACGGCATAGGCAGTGCTTGGTGTAAGCAAAATAATGTTACATCACACTTGTTGAAAGTGCCTTATTGTTCAACTTATAACAGGGATCTGTTTAACAGACGCAATCACGCAATGGTATACAAATAATTTTCATTCCCAGTGAAGACGACAAACAGCTTCAGATTAGTGTTCTATCCGTCATTTCAGTTTACGCCTTTTTCCAGAATCTATCAGGTTACAACACTATAGTAACCGAAAAGAATATAAAACTACAACGATCTAACAGAAAGGTGCACGGTGAAGCGTACTAAAAATATTGTTTAACGGTTTAGAGTCGCAAGTCATAAAAGTAGATGTTAAAACAACAATATTTTTATTACAAGTTACAGCTTTTATTTTTACAGTAAGATTTGTATTTAGAACGGGTACGACGTTTCGATCTTCACATCAGTGATCGAAACGTCGTAACCGTTCTAACTACCAATCTTACTTACTGTAAAAGCTGTAACTTGTAACAAAAAAATACTTAGTCAGTAAGTAAACTCAAAATAAAACTATTAAAGCAACCACATTACATCAACGCACACGGCATAATTAACGAGACACCTTATCCGATTTGTGACAATTTTCTTGACAGAAAATTTAAAGAATATTTTTTGATTCAATCCAAACGCCCTTCTATTAATAGATACAATGCCTGGCCTTTATAATATTATTAATATTTTATGTATGATTTTATTTATTTTTTACTTTTATGACCTTCGTCTCTAATCCGTTCAACAATATTTTTATCAAATATTTTTAGTACGCTTCACTGTGCATCATTCCATTATATTGTTGGAGTTTTAAATTATTTCGGTTACTATAATTTAAAATCATGACGCTATAGACCTCTGAAAAAGGCATAAGCTGAAATGTCAGGTAGAATAAATAAACATTTATCTACAGTGCTTTGTCGTGTTCATTGAAAATAGTTTCCATTCTTCAGTCAGCATTGAAATTTATAAAAAAATATTTTCATTCTTCTTGTTCGAAAATCCAAATATATATGTATATAAATATATATATATATATATTTATTTGTATATCTGTATATATTTCTGAATGAAGAATAATAAGTAGTTAATATTTTATGACAATAGTACGAATTAACGTGGTAAACTTAATTTACATCTGTAGCATTGGGTTAAAACTTTACGTGTTTAACTTTAATTTGTACTTATTGGCTGATTAAGATCCGAGCAGAGAAAATACATGTCATGCCATGTTTAATTATACAAAGGATAATATAGACATCATTAACTTAAGCATTGTTATTAATCCATCTAATTCATTCAAAAACAACAAAGTACGCAAAATTGTCAATGGTTTTTTTAATAACATTAAGGAGTTAAAATATTATGTTTTTAGCCTACGAGATGTGGTATATGACGGTAAGGTGAATAGAAAATGGGAACTTAGGAATGACTTAGTTGGGCCTAATTTGTCTTTCTCCTTGACCTACTCACCCTGTAAGATATTTTATTTAGAGAATGTTTAACTATTATGCCTTATTTTCAGCAAGGAGATGAGAACTTAATTTTGATTTGCCTTTGTTCTGAGATAGTCTTTTTGTTTTTCTTTTTAAAGTTTAAGTTTCATTATTTTATATTGCAAATGACAACATACGTTGTCATCATGTATAGAAAGTCTTAAGACATTTAATAATAAATCAATATAAAACAACAACAACAAATTATATTTACAGTGTATATGACGCAAAACAAACCTATGTTAAGTGCATCTGTTTGTTTCTATTGTTCACACTAGTGATATTGAACTTCAAATTAAACAGGTGGGTATTATGGCAAAGGTGGATACAGGGGAGTAGGGATCCATTTTCTTCTAGAGTAAAAAAGAAAAAATAATAAGTGTAAATACTCTTTTTTACAACTTGTTAAGCTCTGAACTATGCTATTTATTTTCTGCTTTACTTGGAGGCTTATAATGCTATGAACTCTAGGCTCGATATCCGCGGTTGGAACAGGAAGATAGTCCTTTGTGTATTTTTGTGTTCAGACACAAACTAACAAACACCTGTATTATTATGCTTGGATCCTGGTCCATAAGTTGGACCTTCTTCTTTCCAAAATCGTATACTATTTTCGTGTAGGAAACAAGAAAATGTCCTGATTAAAAACTGTATCAATCCTACAAGGCTTAAAAAACAAGTTTATATTCAAAATTATTTGTT